AGAGTTCTATTTAGTTTTACATTTTCTTATGTAAACAGTTTAATATCTATTATTTGTTTTATTATGTAAAAAAAAAAGGGGTTATAGTTTCGTCGACTCTGTGGCACAGCATAGCCTTAGAAAGAATCCTCTTGCTAAACTCTTTGCTTGGATCCTATTCTTACTCGGATCTTATCTCGTTCTTGGTTGGTCTCCATGGGTGACAAAACAGATGCTAAAGATTCTCTGTTCTTTGGTTCCATGACCAATATCAAACTCAAGGGTCCCAATTACCTTCAATGGGCTTGAGCTGTCGAAGTTGCTTTGAAAGCTCGAGGGAAGTCCTCTTATCTTAAGTCAACTAAACCTACTGATGCCAAATTGGTTGATGCTTGGGAACAAGAAGATGCCCAAATTATAACTTGGTTATGGAACAGTATGGAGCCCAGGTCTTCAACAATGTCTCTTTTCTTGAAACCTCTAAAGAGATTTGAATGCCCTGAAGGAGATGTATTCATCTAAGCAAAACATCTCTCGGACTCATCAGCTTTATGACAATCTTTTTTCCACTATACAAGGAGATCACTCTATTGAAGATTACTACTCCACCTTGAAAGGTATGTGGGAGGAATTGAATGTGTATCAGCCTTTGACTACTGATATGGAGACTCAAAAATGATACATGGAAGAATTTTGCATCGCAAAATTGACTTCGACCCGAATTTACTCCTGTTAGTTCTCAGATTCTTGCTGTTGCACTTTTGCCATCTGCTAATAAGGCCTATAATCGTGTTCGACGGGCCAACCTATCTGCTCTAGAGAAAGCCAATCGCTACTGCCCTTACAACTCTCATTGGGCACTCTGATAATTTCCATAATGGTCGTGGGGGACATGTTTCGAATAAAGGTCGAAATTTTCAAGGTAGTCGTAGTGGCCTCAAGAAATGTACTCATTGTAATCGCACCAACCATACTGTGGACAAATGTTGGAAACTCCATGGCAAGCCCACATGGGCTAATCATGCTACTATTGAGGGGGAGATCTCCACTCCTGTTGATGAAGAGACTGTAGCTCTTTTTAAAGCAGAGTATGCATGACTCACTGATAGCGTGCACTCATGTTTCATCTACCTCAACTACCACCTTAGGTGCTTCAAGTAACACTTGCCTCCATTCCTCATCCAATCAGCCGTGGATTATTGATTCTGGAGCCTCCGATCATATGACTGGTAATCCCTTTGTTCTTTTTAATCTTTTAACTACTCCCTCTCCTTCCTTTGTTACAATTGCTAATGGTTCTAAATCTCCAGTTCAAGGGGTTGGCACAATTACTACCCCTTGTCTAACTTTCTCTTCTGTTTTATACCTACCTTAATTTCCTTTTAATTTATTATCTGTTCATAGAATTACCTCTATTTTAAATTGTTCCGTCACCTTTTATCCTTCTCATTGTGTTTTTCAGGATCTAAAGACGAAGAGGACGATTGGTGGGGGATATGAAAAGGATGGTCTCTACTACTTCCAACCCTCTCCCATATTAACTTCCTCTGCCTTTCATACCACGACTTCTCCATATAAGTGGCACTGTAGACTTGGACATCATCAACTGCCAATCTGCGTCTTTTAGTCCCTTCTTTACCTTCGTTTTCTACTTTTAATTGTGAAACGTTTGAGCTCAGTAAACATCATCGAGCCACTTTTAAATGTTGACCTAATGGTCCTTGTTTACATCCTTTTTGAGTTAGTTCACTCCAATGTTTGGGGTCCAGCGAGAATAACTGGTTTGTTTGGTGCACGTTATTTCATTTCTTTTATTGATGATCATTCCCGTTTGACTTGGTTATATGTTCTTCAAGATCGCTCTTTAGTGTTTGATGCATTTAAATCATTTTATGCTGAAATCACTAATCAATTTAATGCCAAGTTACACATTCTTCGTACTAATAATGCTCTTGAGTATAAAGTTCATAACTTTCAGCATTTCTTTGAGTCGAGGGGTATCACTCATCAAACCTCATGTGTTGATACACCTCAACAAAATGGAGTTGCTAAACGAAAGAATGGTCCAATCCTTGTTGTTGTCCGTGCACTCATGCTTCAAATGAATGTGCCTGAACACTTTTGGGGGGATGCTGTTCTCACAACAGTATACCTTTTAAATAGAATGCCATCTCAGGTTCTTAAAGGGAAATCACCTTTTAAAATGTTCTTCCCTGATAAAGATCCTTTTTCTCCCTCCAAAGGTATTTGGATGTATTTGCTTTGTCCATAATTTAAATCATAAACGTGATAAACTTGACCCTCGTGCACACAAATGTATATTTCTTGGTTATTATCGTACTCAAAAAGGGTACCGATGCTATAGTCCTATATTAAGAAAAGATTTTGTATGTGCTGATGAGACTTTCTTTGAAAATGTTCCCTATTACTCTACGGAGGGTTGTGCAAGAGCCTTTACTCCAAGAGTCTGTTCGGCCCCTACCTGTTCTTTCCGTGCCTTTATATCCTACTAGGCTCATCCCTTCATATCCTAAGGTCTATGTTCGTAAATGTCTGTGGTCTTCTCATTGCCCATCTGAACCAATTACAGCACCAATAGCACCATCCTCAAATCCTCCATTGCTTTCCTCGGCGCCTGCAGATCAGACTTCTCCATCTAGTCCTGACATTCCCATTGCCATTCGTAAAGGTAAAAAGTCTTGTACTAAACACCTTATCTCTAATTTTGTATCTTATAATCATTTATCTCCTTCGTTTAAGGCTTTCACAATATCCTTATCTTCTGTCTCTATTCCAAAGACATATAAGGAGGCTTTTTCCCATCCTAGTTGGCGAAAAGCAATGGAGGATGAAATGCATGCTTTGCACTTGAATAATACTTAAACGCCCGCAGGTGCACATATTGTTGGTTGCCAATAGATTTTCACAGTGAAGCAAAATCTAGATGGTACTGTTGACAAGTTAAAAGCTCGTCTTGTTGCTAAGGGCTTTACTCAAACCTATGGTCTTAATTACACTAAAACTTTTTCTCCTGTGGCCAAGCTAAACTCAGTTCGTATTATTATCTCTCTTGCTGCAAATCTTAATTGGCCCCTTCATTAACTTGATGTTAAGAATGCCTACTTGCATGAGATTTGAGTGAGACAGTGTACATAGCTCAACCACCTAGGTTTGAGTCCAAGGGGGAGTGTGTTTGTCATCTTCATAAATCTATTTTATGGACTCAAACAGTCTCCTCGAGCATGGTTTGACAAATTCAGCAAAGTTGTGGTCACTCATGGAATGACTAGAAGTCAGGTTGATCACTTAGTGTTCTTTAAGAAGACAAAACATGGTATTATGATAGTATGGGCATTGTAATTATTGGAAGTGACAGTAAGGGCATTCAGACTTTGATTGGTCATCTTGGTTCAAACTTTCTTACTAAAGATTTGGGCAGGCTTCGTTATTTTCTTGGTATTGAGGTTGCGAGATCAAAGAAAGGCATTTATTTGTCTTAACAAAAATATGTTCTTGATATTTTGAGAGATACGGGTCATCTTGGAGCTAAACCTGTTGCTACACCTATGGAGGCTAATCAGAAATTGATGTCTAATGTTAGTGACTTAGTTGATGATCCTGAGATGTACTGAAGATTAGTTGGTAAGCTAATTTACCTGACTATCACTCGACCAGATATTTCATATGCAGTCAGTGAGGTGAGTCAATTCATGACCAACCCACGGGTCCCTCACATGAATGCAGTTGTACACATTCTAAAGTACCTCAAAGGTGCTCCAGGCCGTGGTCTTCTTTACCAATCTTCAGGAAATCTTCGCATTGAAGGGTATACTGATACAGACTGGGCAGGTTCTCCCTTAAATAGAAGATCAACTACGGGTTATTGTACTTTTATTGGGGTTAATTTTGTAACTTGGAGAAGTAAGAAGCAATCAGTTGTTGCTCGATCTAGTGCTGAGGCTGAATACCGTGCAATGGCTTACACAACTTGTGAGCTAAATTGGTTAAGAAGCCTTCTACAAGAGTTTGGAATCTCAATACAAGATCCAACTCCTCTCTACTATGATAACCAGGCCGCCATTTATATTGCTAGCAATCCAGTTTTTCATGAACGGACAAAACACATTGAAATGGATTGTCATTTCATTCATTCTAAGGTGGCTTCAAATGAGATTGTGACTCTTTTTGTGCCCTCTCACAATCAACTAGTTGATGTCTTCACTAAAGCTCTTCCAAAGAATGCATTCGACTCTATTTGTAGCAAGGTGGGAGTTGTTGATATTTACTCTCCAGCTTGAGGGGGAGTGTTATGAATATAGGCTATTTACAGCCTCTAATTTATTAGGAAAGTTGACTATTCTGCTACATGTAATCTGCTAGCTTGATTATAGGATATATTCTGATGCAAAAAATCTGTTAGCTTGATTATAGGATTTTGATTAGCTTAATTTCTGGTAATTGGCTAAATTAATGTACTGAGTGTATGCCTTGAGTTCCTATATAAACCCACATGTACTCACATCTAAGTTATATACAAGAAATCTTCTCTTCTATTTTCTTGCTCTTATTTACAATAGTATAAAATATACACGACCACATATGATGTGTAATTTTCTTTATCTCCAGCATTCTATTAAGGTACACTTACACATTACCAATAGATAAAATTGTTGTATATTTTACACACCACATCAGCATATTTCATTTCTTCTCCATCTTTCTCATTTCATTAAAAAATCAACCATATATTAAGCAGGTTTGAAAAAGTTATGTGGGATCCTAACATGATACATGGTTGGTTGTTATTGGAGATATATTTTTACACAAAAAGTATAAAATAATCCTTTGGAGCTAAAATTAAATAATCCAAAATTTTGGTGTAAATCTATCATGACACGTCATATTTATACACAAAAAATACACACACACAGCCGTTGGACATGCTCTTGGTTAATACTGTTCATTTACAAAAATGGAGGCAAATGGATCCAAACCTTATCACACCCGTGAATCCTACCAAATTAGTTGACATTTGTCCGGGTTAGGGTTTACAAAGTTATATGTACGGTACAAGGAAGGGGATTTGCCGCTCAGCGCGGGCTACTGAGAGAGATACATGTTTATGTGCTTGCGGCCTCACATCCAATCCTATAATTTGAATCATTTTTGCATGTAGTGATTCTCTGTTTCTGTCCTCTTAATCTCAGATATTCATGGATTATTTTTCTGGGTTTAATGCTATTTTGTGAGCTAAAATCGATTTTGTCCTAGAAAATGGACTGGATTTTCTAAAAGTTCAATGAAGTTTCCTGCTTAAACTACTGATTATTGGATTTTGGTTTAATCGATTTTTTTTTTCGGTGAGTTGGTTTCATCAATTTTTCTATGGTTTGTTTAGTCTTCCTATTCCTACTCATATATGTATGTAAATGTATAATCCAGTGAATTTAAAGATGTTAATTGGTGGGGTTGGGAGGAAGGAGTTGTTGGATCACTCATGCAAAGATGATTTGAATTATTGCTTGGTGTTGTGAGCAACGAGCACTTCCAACATCTTAGAGGAAGAAATATTGCCCTCTTAACGCAAGAGTATGTTCCCAAGTTGCAAATTTTGAACTACTTTTATTGGAATTCTGTAATCTTACTATCTGTTTGTGTGTAGTTTTATTGAATAGAACTAGATCTAATTAATATGCGATTTTTAATGAATATTGTGCTCCCAAATGATTTGTAGTTAATCTAAATTTGTCTACAACTTGGTATTTGTTATGTTTGTGCATAAATGGCATGCAACTTTATCTCTTGTGACTGTTGCTTTTGGCTTAAAATTAGATATTTGTTATAGATTTTTATTAAATTAAGCTAGCATATGTTCTTTTTTGTTTTGCATTTCGGCACTGGTAGCATTTTTTCTTGGTTCTGTTCTCCTATGTTCATATATATATATATTGAAATTGACTTTTCAAGTAATACATAATAATCAATTCAATTAAAATTTAATTTACTTCCAAGCTAGATACTCGTCTTCATTTTCTTCGAGTTTCATGCCCTATTTGTATGATATGAAAATTTCAAAATAGAACTAGCATTTGTCCTTTTCTTTTCTTTTTTTTCGTGTTTTTTCTTTTTTTTTTTTGGCATCTCTTTGTCCCTGTTTGTTCATCTGTTTTAACCTAACAACTAAAAGATAGTATTCAATCCAACTCAGATTCACTTTCAATTTATTTTATGCTTGGAAACATGGGGTGTAGTGGGGTGTAGCAGTTACATAACTAGTTAGGACGATGTTTATAATTATTAAGTGAGTAGTTTGTTAAATAGAACCGGTTTTCATTTGGATGTGGTCATTGATTTCATTCTCTCTTCTATGTTTTTGAAAATATGCACTTGACTTCATTTATTTGACCCGGAAAGAAACTTCTTTTAACGGGTTGCCTTTTTTGTATTGTGCGACTTAGTTAAAGAACTCAGGTCCATAAATGAAAAGGCTATTACCCACTGTGGTCCCATTAATCACTGGTACGAGGTGGCTTGACTGCGTAAAGATCTAATTGTGGCATTATTTGAATAGAGTGCCCCTCTTCAAAATCGAACCCATGCTCTCACGCTTGACAATAGACTAATATGCTTAACTATAAAGTGTCTCACACCTTCAAAAAATATTTGAGATTTGAGTTGTCTTTAAGAATTCTTCTATTTTTCTAATAAATGAAGCTACGAAACGAGAACTATTTAATTACACAGTTTGTTATAATTTAAAGAATCATGTTGGGAGCATGTAAAATATTTTTCTGTTTTTCATGTGTTTTCCTAATTACTTTTACCAAAACAATTTGTATTTCACTTGAGTATAGGATGTCAGGAGCATGTTTATCAAAATTGCAATTTGGATTGTAACATCACAAGATCCTACAATTCAAAGTTATCAAATCATTCCAGATTGTATGAAAGATGGGATTGTGATAGGATTGTTTTGGATTGTACCATAAGAACAATCAGGCAACAGTTGGAAAAGCTGCTTGAAATCATGTCATAGGATTGTTTGGGTATGAAAAAGTTAAGATAATCTTCTTTTTATTTTTATAGTACTTGAAAATATTTGTAAATTTGATTGATTTTAAACCTTTTATCAAATATGTTGGTTGTTATGGCACATGTAATTGATATTTGGTAGATTATGTTAAAGAATTTTCTTGGTTTGCTTTATTACAAAAGTAATTCAGTTATTATGAGACATACATTTTCATTAAAATAAAATAAAAGTGAGAATAGATGGATCAAAATCTAATCATTCAATGTATGACTTTACTTCTAATTACATGGTGTTAGGGTTCTACCTTTTGAGCTACTCTATCAAAATTACCTACATAAACTTGTGCATACATGCATGTTCGGTACATTTGTAATAACACTTCTGTTTTTATGTGTTCTAAATTCGTTCTATCTATTCTAAGAATTCATTGATAAATATGATTTTAGTTATCTTTTTCACAATTTGAAGGATCTTACAATCATTGATCTAATCTATGATCCGATCCTGTGGACCCTCTAATCTATCCAATGTAGGATCCCAATCATACAACCTTGGGCCAAGAGTTGAGCTCCCTCATGTATGGTTTATTCGTTCTATTCCTACTCATTTATGTGTATGTGTATATATATATATATAGATGTATAGTCAGATGGTAATTTTAAAGATGTTAATTAATGGGGTTGGGAGGAAGGAGTTATTGGTTCACTCACACAAAGATGATTTGAATTATTGCTTGGTGTTGTTAGCAACAAGCACTGCCAACAACATCTAAAGAGGAATAAATATTTCCCTCTTGACACAAAAGCATGTTCCAAATTGTATATTGTGAACTACTTTTATGGGAATTATGTAATCTTACTATCTGTTTGTGTATGGTTTTATTGAATAGAACTAGATGTCATGTCATTTTTAATATATATAATGTTCTCTCAAATGTTTTGTACTTTATCTAAACTTATCTGCGACTTGTGTATGTGTTATCTTGATACAAATTTTGACTTTGTGCATAAATAGCAATGCAACTTAAATTCTTGGGATTGTTGCTTTTGGCTTAAATTAATATATTTTTTTATAGATTTTTCTTAAACTGAGCTAGCATTTGTCCTTGCTTGTTTTGCATTTTGGCATTGGTAGCATTTTTATTGGTTCTGTTCTCCCATGTCCATTTTGGAATTGAGTTTTCAAGTAACAAATGATAATCAATTCGATTAAAATTCAATTTATTTCCAAGCTAACATTTTTCTAGAGTTTCAATTGCTATCATCATCTTCATCATTTTGTTAGAGTTTCATGTCCAATCAATATGATATAATTCTCTTAAAATAGAACTAGCATTTTTTCTTAATGCTTTTTTTTTTTTTTCTTTCCATTTTTGGTTTCATCTCTTTGTTCCTTTTCCTATGTCCATTTTAATCTTACAACTAAGAGATTGTATTCAAACCAACTCAGATTCACTTTTCACTTTTATTTCATGCTAGGAAGTAGGGTAACATACTCGAAAATTATATTTTATAATTATTAAGTGAATAGTTTGTTAAATAGAACCTTATTTCATTTGGATTTGGTCATTGATTTCATACTCCCTTGTATGTTTTTTGTGAATATGCATTTGACTTCATCATTTATTTGATCCAGGTAATGCATCTTTTTGTATTGTGCGACTTCTTTGAAGAACCCAAGGCCATAAATGGAAAGGCTATCACCCACTGTGGACCCCGTTAATCACGGGTAAGAGGAGGGTTGATTCATGACTGCATAAAGACTAATTGTGGCATTACTTGAATAGAGTGGCCCTCTTCAAAATCTAACGCATGCTCTCATGCTTGACAATAGACTCCTATGCTTTACTAAAAATCATCGAGATTTGCGTTATCTTTAAGAATTCTTCTTTTTTTATCATAAACGAAATTACGATGCAACAACTGTTTGATTATACAGTTTGTTGTTATTTAAAACAATTGTTTAAATTCTTCTGTTTAAAACATGTTGCACTTCATTTAAGTATAGGATAACAGGAGCATGGTTATCAAAATTGCAATTTGGATAGTAACATTGCACTATCCTACAAGCCAAACTTATGAAATCAATCCAGATTGTATGAAAATCATAGAGATGTAGGATCATGATAGGATGATTGATTAGGCTACTATTGGAAAAGCTAGTCGAAATCATGTCATAGGATCATTCGGGTATGAAAAAAGATAAATCTTTTTTTTCATGATACTTGAAAATATTTGTAAAGTTGATTGATTTTAAACCTTTTATATGATATGTTGGTTCTTATAGCACATGCAATTGATATTTGTTAGATTGTGTTAAATAATTTTATTGATTTGCTTACCTCTACTTTGTTGTAGCAAGACACAGATACAATAGCGTATTGTGATGGATCTATTGAATCCCTCATTCCTTGGGAGAAGAAAATCACTTTTTCAGATTCCTCTGGTGATTTTTGTAGCTCATCTTTGATCGGTGACAACAAGAATTAGCATTATTGGTGCCACACTGCTGTCTGTTCATGATGAATTGAATGGAGGGAATAAAGATGCACTTTCATTGTGGCATTGGTTAACAATGACAGTTTTAGAAGGCAAGCTTGGATCACTGATGCCAGATCTATGAAATATGGGCCATATTTTAAGACGAGTACAGAAAAAAAACATAGAATCTGAATGCTGGGTATGCTCTGCTTAACCCATTTTTATTGATGATTTTAAGATTATAGACAAGTGCAGCATGGCATTATAGTTTTCTTTCTTACTCGGATCAAATAGAGGGAAGAAAGATGCTCTTGTGATGCTGAATAATATATTCAATTGAGCTGAACAAAGAGCAGGTCTTTGAGTGCTGTGCTGTAAATGGCAAAAGGCCTTGGTTTCCAAAAAGGGAACATGTTTGGCAAAGAAGACATTGGTAGATTTTGTAAATATGCACTTTGACATTTTAAATAGTCAGCCAGGATACAATTCGTCAAGAATGGATGTGATGGATCAGAAGGATTGGTTCAGCTCGTCCAGATTGTGTTGGATTTATCATTTTTTGATGAGCAGACTCCTGGACCAGTTTATGTAGCTCATCTGGGCTTGCATGCTCTCCAGCCTGGGAAAGTTGAAGAAATGTATAATTACCCTTTGGAAGATACAAGGGATGCGTTGATGAAAGCATGATCAATCAAGTAAGGAACGGCGTCGTTTACAGAGTTGATTGGGAAGGTATGCAGCTGGTTACTATAAATTTGGACAGTGTTCCCAATCAAGGAAAGCTATGTAGGAAGTTTGAGAGAGAGAAAGCAATCAAAATCTGTATTAATCATGATGTAGGGAACAAATTATTAGAAGGGAGAAGAAATACAAGGAAGCGAGTATAAATATTACACCTATTACACTGTTTTTTACTTAAACGATGACAAGAATTGTAATCTGAAAAGAACAGATAATTATAGCTTAAGAAGAACTTGCATCTTTGAAATTGGAACTTTGCTTATTCTTCTTGTGGTTTGTAGATTTTCTGTAACATCTTGTCAACTTCCTCAAATTGCAGTCCTTTGGTTTCTGGTACGAGTAAAAAAATGGCTACAAGACCGAGGGTGGAAAAACCGGCAAAGAGGAAGAATGTGCCGGCAGAACCAAGGGTCTTGGTCAACGACAAGAACGTCTTGCTCATGATGGGGTTCGAGACCCAGTTGGAAACTGCAGCTATTGGGTTGTTGGATCACTCATGCAAAGATGATTTGAATTATTGTTTGGTGTTGTGAGCAGCAAGCACTACCAAGAACATCTAAAGAAGAAGTATTGCCCTCTTGACACAAAAGTATGTTCCAATTTGCAAATTTTGAACTACTTTTATGTGAATTCTGTAATCTTACTATCTGTTTGTGTGTAGTTTTATTGAATAGAACCAGATCTCATGAAATATTTAATATATATATAATATTCTCTCAAATGTTTTATACTTTATCTAAACTTATCTAAGGCTTGTGTATGTGTTATCTTGATACAAATTTTGACTTTGTGCATAAAAATGGCAATGCAACTTAATTTCTTGTGATTGTTGGTTTTGGCTTAAATCAGATATTCATTATAGTTTTTTCTTTAACTGCTCTAGCATTTGTCCTTCTTGCTAGTTTTGCATTATGCATTGGTAGCATTTTTCTTGGTTCTGTTATCCTAGGCCCATTTTGGAATTGACTTTTCAAGTAACAGATGATAATCAATTCGATTAAAATTCAATTTATTTCCAAGCTAACTTTTTTTTGTAGTTTCAAGTGCTATCATCATTGTCATAATTTTCTTAGAGATTCATGTCCTATCAATATGATATAATTTTCTTAAAATAGAACTAGAATTTTTTCTTTAGCCTTGAAAAATAATAAATTAAAATATATATATATATATTCGGTTTCATCCCTTTGTTCCTTTTCCCATGACTCTTTTATTCTTACAACTAAGAGATAGTATTCAAAATAAAATTCAGATTCACTCACTTTTATTTCATTCTAGGAAACATGGGGCGTAGCACTTACATAACTAGTCAGTCTATTCTCATCCTCAGACATCAATAATTTCAGAAGACACGGATATGCTTTCGATTGGGCTTATTCTTACTGGTTTCCGGGTACCATAATTGGAAATTATATTTTATAATTATTAAGTGAATAGTTTGTTAAATAGAACCTGATTTCATTTGGATGTGGTCATTGATTTCATGCTCTCTTGTATGTTTTTGTAAATTTGTACTTGACTTCATCATTTATCTGATCCAGAAAAAAACTTCCTTAATGTGTTGCCTTTTTGTATTTTGCGACTTATTCAAAGAACTCAAGACCATAAATGGGGAAAGGTAACCCACTGTGGTCCCTGTTAATCACGGGTATGAGGAAGGTTGACTCATGACTGCGTAAAGACCTAATTGTGGCATTACCTGAATAGAGTGGCCCTCTTCAAAATCGAATGCATGCTCTCACGCTTGACAATAGACTCGTATGCTTAACTAAAAAGCATCGAGATTTGCATTATCGTTAAGAATTCTTCTATTTTTCTCATAAACAAAGCTACGAAGCAACAATTGTTTGATTACACAGTTTGTTATTATTTAAAGACAATTGTTTGAATTATTCTATTTAAAACATGTTGCACTTCACTTCAGTATAGGGTGCCAAGAGCATGGTTATCAAAAAATTGCAATTTGGGTAGTAACATTGCACTATCCTACGATCGAAAGTTTCCAAATCAATCCAGATTGTATGAAAAATCATAGAGAGGTAGGATTGATTATGCTACTATTGGAAAAGTACTAAAAATCATGTCATAGGATCGTTGGGGTATGAAAAAAGACTTTTTTTTTATTTTATAGTACTTGAAAATATTTGTAAACTTGATTGATTTTAAACCTTTTATAAGATATGTTGGTTGTTATAGCAAATGTAATTGATATCTGGTAGATTGTGTTAAAGAATTTTCTTGGTTTTCTTTATTAAAAACTAAAAAGTAATTCAGGTATTACAAGAAATACGTGTTCATTAAAAATAGAGAGAATACAAGGATCTAAATCTTGATCTTCCCATGTAAAATTTTACTTGTAATTGCATGGTAGGGTTCTACCTTTTGAGCTGCACTATCAAAATTACCTACGTGAACTTGTGCATATATGCATGTTTCGCTTTTGTAATAATACTTCTGTTTTTATGCGTTTAAATCCGTTCTATCTATTCTAAGAATTCATTATTTATAAATATGATTTTAGTGATTTTTCTCACACTTTGAAGGATCTTACAATCATTGATCTAATCTACTATCCGATCCTATGGATCCCGTAACCTATCCAGTGCAGGATCCCAATCATACAAACTTGGGTCAAGAGTTGAGCTCCCTCATATATCCAATCTACAAATGTTGTGTTTTTATTTTGTTGACCGATTAGGGGACATGTTGGTTGTTACATTGTTTTCAGTAAAAACTCTCAAACTTCAAGCTATTGAACTTTTCTTGCCTGAAGTTCTTATGTTTATTGCAGAATAATGAATTCTCCAATTTCTCCTCATATGAAAAACTGCCTTACTGGGAATTGTTTTTTTTTTGGGGGGGGGGGGGGGGGGGGGGGGGGGGCTCGGGATTGATTGTTGTCAAAAAGGATGTTTCATGAATTTGGTGCAAATTTCTGCACTCCTTGACCTCTGATCTGTCTTGGAATCAGCATGAAGAAGCCAAACACTTCTTGGTTCTATAAATGAGGAATACAAGTCCACTTCTTTGTAGTTGTATATGGTATCATTTTTCTCTTTACTTGCTTCTTTTCTGATATATTGAATCCTACCTCTACTTTGTTGTAGAAGACGCAGATGCAACAGCATATTGTGATGGATCTATTGAATCTCTCAGTCCATTGGGAGAAGAAAAATATTTTTCCAGATTCCTCTGGTGATCTTTGTGTAGTTTGTCTTTTATCGTTAACAGAAAGAACTAGCATTATTGGTGCCACACTGCTGTTTGCTGTGTTTTCATGATGAATTGAATGGGGAGAATAAAGATGTGCTTTTTCCATTATGGCATTGGTTTCGGAACAGTGACAGTTTTGGAAAAGCAAGCTTGGATCACTGATGCCAGATCTATGAAATATCTGTACGTTTTAAGACAAGTACAGAAAATAAATAAATAAATAAATCTGAATGCTGGGTGTGCTCTGCTTAACCCATTTTTATTGGTGATAATAAGATTATAGGCTAAGTTCAGCATGGCATCGTAGTTTTCTTTCTTACTCGGACCAAATAGAGGGAAGAAAGATGCTCCTATGTTGTTGAATAATATATTCAATTGAGATGAAAAACGAGCAGGCCTTTGAGTGCTGTGCTGTAAAACTGCCAAAGGCCTTCGTTTCCAAACAGGGAACATGTTTGGCAAAGAAGATATTGGTAGTATTGTGCTATGGTTGATACTCGAGAAATTAGGAAGCACGGACACTCCAAAATGGGCGAAGAATTCGTGTCCGACACGTGTCGGACACGGACACGCCCCGACACGTGTCGGACATGCCAAAAACCGTGTCTAGAATTTTTTTATTTTTTCTAATTTTCGGACACGGCTCAGACAACTCAAACACGGCTCGGACACACTTTTCTGGGATTTTTTTTTTTTTTTTAAAAAAAAAAAAAAATTTAATGCTGATATGTTAATTTTTTTTTTTTTAATTTTAATGCTGATATGTTCTATTTTTTGTTTTGTACTACCCTTTTGGTATTGTAAATGGTAAAAGTCCTAGATCAAATGATGGATGGGAATAGATGATAGTATACTGACTTGTTTTTGTATCTTTTTTGGGGACTAGCCTTTAGGTTTTTGTGAATATTAAGTGCTAACAGTAAAGTCCTGAATGTTAAAGAGTCATGAATGTTAATAGTCCTTTCTGTCTATGTTTTTGTATTTGGAGTAAACTTGCAATGATGATTAAATGATACTAGTTATTATTCTAATGTCTTGTTTTTTATTTGATTTTATAACTATGCAACATTGTTCTTTTATAGTTCATTAGTTATGAGTTATGATTTGTGTTTTTTTTCATTGTGAGGTTGATGAAAAATAATAACACTCAATAATTTTTAAAGTACTACATCACACACACACACACACATATATATATACTATTCGCCATGTCCGTGTCCTAATTTTTTTGGATCTACCGTGTTGCTGTGTCCGTGTCATGTCATATCCGTGTCCGTGCTTCTTAGTCGAGAAGAATAACTGCTATTGTTAAAAGTGGGTAGGTATTTCATTGCTAATCAAAAACGTTGAAGAATGTGGCATTTCAGTTCTAATAAAAGCTGTTGAAAAATTAGCATATGGTGCCCATGTTTCTGCATTTGTTTTCTGGCGGTGCGAAGAACAGAAAGTTGTTAATAAAGAAGGTGGGGTACCCCCCCTAGTTGAGCACTCTTGCAGATTGGGGGAGTGCGAGTCCAGCAGTAGGCTAGTTTGTGGTTAGTGGAATTTACTAATCTGTGGGTTGGATGATGGTATGACATGCCTAATTGTATTGACAATTTCCAATTGTTGTGCAGTGCAAATTTATTGATAGAAATATATTAAATATCTGATGAATTTATGTTGTTTGCCTATTACATGTCTACTAAATGTGATTGTGCTGATCAGACATCAGAATTTTGCACTTCTTTGCTTAAATGAAGCTATCAAATTACTCCATCCATTTTAAGTAACTGTCCCTTTATTATTATTCTATAAATTATAATTAAGTCCATAAGAGTAGTGATCTGTTATCGTGTCGATGATTATTGGTTAGTTGAATGTATGGAGTTCTTTGATGGTTTTGTGCAGCAGGGTTGACAAAATTGGTAGAATGACAACGGGCAAAAATTCTAGGAGATGCTATGGGGAAGAAATAGTACCTTGAATGCTTGATTTAACTAGCTTTTCTCTGTACAATTTCTTAATTTCAGCCCTCCCTCTTTCCTTGGATAGAGTACATATTTTCACAATTGGTCTTGGGTTGACAAGCTATTCCTTCTATTGATAGGTTTACTGAGTACTAATTATCTGGTTTTATTCTGCTATTTCTCCCTATTTGATTTGTTAAGCCAGGATACGGACTCATCAAGAATGGATGTTCTGGATCTGATGGATTAGGTCAGCTTGTCCAGATTCTGTTGGATTTATCCTTTTTGGGCGAGCAGACTCCTCTACCAGTTTATGTAACTCATCGGGGCTTGCATTCTCTCCAGTGTGCCTTTGGAAGATACAAGGGATGTGAAAGCGTGATCGATCAGGTAAAGAATGTAGTCGTTTACAGAGTTGATTGGGAAGGTATGCATGCAGCTGGGTACTATAAATTTGGACACGGTTATATTGGTATATCCCAATCATCATGTAGAGAAAAAAAAATTATTAGAAGGGAGAAGAAATACAACGAAACGAGTAGGACATTACGACAGATAATATATAGATTAAGAACTACCAACTTTGAAATTGGAACTTTTTCCTTCGAAAACATCAGATAATTATAGCTTAAGAAGAACTATCATCTTTGGAATTGGAACTTTTCTTATTCTTCTTCTTGTATGGTTTGTAGCCTTCCTGTAACATCTTCTCAACTTCCTCAAATTGCAGTCCTTTGGTTTCTGGTACAAGTAAATAAATGGCTATAAGACCGAGGAATGAAAAACCAGCAAAGAGGAGGAATGTGCCAGCAGAGCCAAGGGCCTCGGTCAACGACAAGAATGTCTCGCTCACGATAAGGTTGGAGGTCCAGTTAGAAACTGCGGCTATTCCTCCACCAATGCCTCTGTATCTCAATGGGTATATCTCTGAGTTCACAATCCATGGTACCGTCCCCATTCCAGGTGAGTAAGATATAATGTACATTCCCAGGAGTACAACTGCCAAAAATCCTATTCTGCTTGGGCAGCCCTTGGTGTACCATGTCCGATGTTCTGCCCCGCATTTATCTTTTAAATCGTCGTTTGAATTCACACAAGCTCCGGGAGAGTACTGATCGAAAGCAAATCAATCAAAAAAGGCTCATTATTAGTGATGAAAAGTTAGTTATAAGCATCAATAAGAGGCAACTAACAGCTTATTTGGTTTCATTTTGTGCATCTGGTATCAGAATTGAAGCTATCATTTCAAGTAAGGAGGAGCAACCAAAAGGTGAGGAAAGTAAACGTACCACGCTTCCTCCATTCGAACAATATGCACAATCAGAGGATGACAAGCATGTCATGCAATTCCAAGACGATGGACTTTTGGCCCCGAGGTAACCGGGACACGTAGAGTTAGCACCGAAGTGGGAGGATTCGAGGTTACTGACAGCTGGAGCAGTTTTTGAAGCTTGGTAAAACACCCCGGATAACACAATGAGACAAGTGATTATACCAAACATAGAAATGATCATCAGCCTCCTCCTGCCGTATCTATCAACGAAGGCCATACTCACAATGGAGCCAACAGCATTTAGGCCAGAAGTAATGAGAGAGAGTGCCAAAGCTGTCTGTTTCGAAGCAAATCCAGCGAACTGAACTATGGTGGGACTGTAATACATGACGGTGTTTATACCCACAAATTGCTGAGCCACCTGAACAGCAATGCCTGCGTAGAGCCCTCTTCGGACCACATCATTGCCCCAAGCATTCCTTACTTTCGCAAACACACCGCTTCCCCCAATTGCCATTTCGTCGGCCTTTTCAGCTTCAACTGATTCCTTCAAGGCTTGAATCTCACCTTCAAGTTCCTCAGCAGGATATATTTTACTCAAGATGTCCCTGGCCTCATCCACTCTATCCTGATAAACAAATATTATGGTAATGTGTTACTAACAACCCCCAATTTCAATAGATTTGACACACCCAAAGTGTTATGTTTATATACATATATATATATATATATGCATAACTAAGAGAGTATCAAGGTAGTGATTTCATTTAAGAATGGTTTTGGAGACATCATTTAGTGACAGATTCTACAGATCAATGAAGACATACGCAGCACATCTGGAACATGCATAATGAAGTACTCAGATTTAACTTTTACTCTTTTAAATTACAGGTCTACTCCCAAGGGATCTCTATATTAATGCCTATTTGGATTGGCTTTTCAAACTTCGCTTTTGGGTTTGGAAGCTTTTTTGAGTAGTGTTTGGCTAAATTTTTTGAAATAGTTTTGAGTTTTGGAAGAGCGTTTTGGAGAAGTTAGGCATTGCAGGTCTACTCCCAAGGGATCTCTATATTAATGCTGTGTTTTGAGTAATGTTTGGATTGGCTTTTCAAACGCTTTGTTTGACTTTTTGTATTTGAAAGCTATTTTGAATAGTGTTTGACTAGTTTTTTCTGAAATAGCTTTGGGTTTTGGAGAAATCAGAGGTACCACCTTCTTCAAAACACTCTTCTAAAAATAAAAAATAAAAAACAGAGGAAGCTAAATTGGTATATTAATGTGCTTAAATACACGGGTACATTGATGCATTTCTATTGTTAGAGGAAGAACCTTCCGATAAAGCCATCTAGGAGACTCAGGTAGGGTGAACATCAAAGCAAACTGCACTACAGCTGGAACTCCTGCAACACCGAGCATCCAACGCCAGGTTCCAGGAGCCTGAAACAAATTTACAGAGTTACATTTTTGCCTTCTGTTTTGCATCCCAACAAGTGAAAAGATTCAAACACCCATATATATATATATATATATATATATATATATATATATATATGTATGTATATTATGTACCTTGGTGAAGGCTAGATTGATAAGATATGACAGAAATTGGCCTCCTGTAATTAGCAAACCATTTGTGCTAACAAGCGCGCCTCTAATTCTAGCCGGTGAGGCTTCTGAGATGTAAAGAGGCGCTGTCATGGAAGCCATTCCAACTCCCAAACCAACAAATATTCTTCCAACAATAATCACCGCCGGAACTGGAGCCAAAGCCATAACTATTGCGCCAATGAAGAACAAGACATCCGCAACTATGATTGACATCTTCCTTCCGAACCTGTCATTCATCCATCCACCAACTGCAGCACCAACGATAGCTCCTGCTACAGCCATGCTCACAATGGTTTCCTATGTATAGAATGATAGAACAGAAGGCATGAGCACAGTGAAAAAGGAGAGGCCTTTACATATTATGTGTATAAGTGTGTGTGTGAGTGTGTGTGCATATTCATCAAATGGACCATGTTGATGTTGGGGAAATTAAAGCAATTGAGAGTAATTTTACCTGCATGACAGTACTCTTATCAACAGATTTGAAGTCTTCTCGAATGTAAAGAAGGGCTCCAGAGATAACTCCTACACTTCCATAAAAAATTCATAAATATAGAATTATTTAAAGATTGTACCATTGTATTTGATGTTAGAATGCACTTAGCAAGGGTAAGCCCAGTGCATGCCATTGCAGGGTCTAGGGAGGGTTTGATATAGGCAACCCTACCTTCGTATGCAGGGAGAGGTTGTTTTTGTTTCATACCCGTGACCTCACAATGGAGCAACCTTACTATTGAATTTTCTTATTACCTGTGTCGTAGCCAAACAGGAGGCCTCCAATGCCAGCCGATAAGGCCAGCCGCATAATGTATGGTGTCTTCCATGTCGTCTTCCAACATTCTGTAAATTCTGTTTTATCTGGTTTTGTAACTCCTCCCTCCACCATTTTTGCTCAAATTCTTAAAACGAAATTCAACTTATACCAGGAGCTTTTCTCTGAAAAGAAGAAAAGTCTTGATTACGTATGTTGTGTCATATCAAACCTTCAAAAAAAACATTAACAGTTTAGAGCTTTTTACAACCCTGCAAACAGATTTTAAAACATTCACAATATATATTTAATCATATTGAGTAATTTAATTATATTAATCATCTTCAATGAAATGAATTTGTTTATGAATGGAGTATGATATAATATACAATATCCGAGGCCAAATGTGTAGGGTTGTTTGTTGATACAATGCTAAAAGATGAGGTTTCGAGCATAAGAACACAGATTCAAGTGTAAGCACAACCACCTTCTGCAAATAATGTGTTTACTGCTAAAAGTTAGATCAATCAGCACTTTTTTAACACCTCAGATTAACCGGGATCACATTAAATAGGAAAATGATTCTTAAACCGATTTTCCAAACCAATGTGGATGGTCAGAGGGTTTTTATTCTTTCAATGTAGTGGATAATACCGTACTTAGATTCATCCACTGTGCGTTTGAGAAATAGGTCCAAATAGTATTGTTCCATTGAATAAATGATGAATATGAATTTACGTAATCCATTAACGAGAACGCGCTAATGGCTTTTTAATCCATGACTTATGATTAACCCTAGTAATGCAAGACTATGGCAAGTAGACCATTAAATTTGACATTAGCATTTGAAAACACCATCAAGATGGCTAGCTATTAAGTACTACAACACATTGTGATTCATGAAACAAAAGCTAAGAAAAGAAAAGATTTTTCATCTTACAAAGACGTATTGCTTATTGCGCTTTCTTCTTTCCAAAATGTCCCCCTTTGTCCAAGTGGAATCCAGAAAATGAAAGAGGCTCTTGTTTGATGTGTATATATATATACTTGTGGCTTGGGAGGGTAAAGATGCATGCATGGTGTCAATTTATCCAAATTTAGTACTTTCCTTCATCTTATTTTAGAAACATTTGACTTCATTAACCACATATAGTAAAGTGACACTCTTGCCATCTGAATGTGATGAATATTTCTATAAAGTGCCCAAACATAAATTTTTTGACAGAGAAGCAACACTATCAATTGCTCTATTTTAGGTTTTGATTTGTTGGAATGCATGAAAATATATCTCATCATCACCCAACTTCATAGGTTGAAAACTTGACCTGCTTTTGGGGTACTGTTGGGAAATGATAAGCTTGCACCGGACATCTTTACCCCCAAATTCATTTTTAGGGTTAGTGTATATATATATATATATCCAATGTGCCAAAAAAATTCCTAGTGTTCAAAAACAAAACTCCTACATTTTTCAATTTGAGCAAATAATGACATTTTCTCAATTTGAGGCATGAAATACCTAAAATACCCTTAAAAGCAGAATTTAAAAAATAATAAACACTTATATCTATGCATTTTATTATGAGTATTAATTGACTATGAGAGGACAATTTATTACAATTTTTTAAATTATAGGGATTTATATGCACATACTAAATAACATTGTGTTTCTTGCACATTTTTTATATAATAGAGGAGTTTTTTTTTGCACTTTACTCTTCATTTTATGAAAAAAAATTCCACTCTAACTTAGAGTTAAGACATCTCAATCAATGATAACTATTTTATCTTCAATATTTTAATAAATTAATTTGATAGTTGGATATTCAATCCTAGTTATCATATTAGTTATTTTCATTTTATTGTAAACTAGTTTTATTACGTTGCTATCATATTATTTAGCTATATTTTAAAACTTTATCTTGTTAGAGTTTAAATTCAAGAAGAGCTAAGAAAGTGTCATAGAACACGTTAACCATGAATATAGTGAGAGTGTCTCGTTATAGTTTTTTCTTTTAAAAAAAAAAAAAACAAAAAATACTTGTGGTCAATATTTGAAATAGTTAGAAAATGCTTTTACTATGCTTTTACGCATTAGTAGGATCATTATTTAATGTAGTGGTAAAAAGTAAAACATTCATTTGACAAGTGTAGAAAACGTTGACTTATGAAATAACGTCCCTCTTTTTAATTTTATCTTCAGAGCATCCTACGTAGTTGGAATCAACAACGTCCATTTCTCCATCGATAATTGTGTTTGGTTTAAAACACTCATAATCCTACAACTGTCAGTATAATGACTTTAGGATTTGTTTGGCTTTCATTTTTTAGAGGGTAATTTATACATCCTCACCTATAGTTTACCATAATTACAGGCGACACTCTTTCTGTTTCGAAAATTACGCGGACCTCCCCTACTTTTGAAAATATCCTACACGGACCTCCCTTATGTGTGACGGACTATTAAATATACTAACGAAACTGTCAAAATTACTGAAATACCCTCTACTTGGCATGAAATTACTAAACTACCCCTTTAAGTTATTGTATAGGCATAACATCACCTTGTCATCTTCTCTATTCATTCAAGGATTTACTCTCTCTCTCTCTAACACTTTCTCTCTCTAACGTACCCAAATCCTCTCTCATATGTCAAAGATGAATCCATCAAAAATTGACATTGTTGTTCAGTTTGTTCTCAAATGGGTCTTTGATGAGGTTTGTTGGCAAGATTGGGCCACACTTTGATGAGGTTTGTTTTTATGATTAAAAATCAATCACCAATGGGATTATTATATATCAGTCCTACACCGCCGACCTCTACCCACCGGCGAATCGTCGGTGATGGTTTGAACAGAATTTAAATCCCCAGATGGGCTCAACTCCAGCTGCTGCCAAATCCTTCTTTCTCCTCTTTCTCTCTCTAACTTTCTTCACCATCTTTGTGTCCTCCTTAGATTACACAAAATTGGTGAGTATACAAAATGATATTTAGATAGGTATACAGGATCAGCAGCAGCTCGGTGAGCATCAGTCGAAGTAAGATATTAACAAGAAACAACAAATTCAATAATTAAGAAGAAAAAAACATAGATATAAAGTTTTAGAAGAAAAATTAACAATGATGGCAAAGAAATCAACCCTCACCTGCTTTAATTTGGAACCCGAAGCCTTTCTCCTCTTGACTATTAAAGATTCAAAAGTATAATCATTCATCACCTTCGGCTTCTTCAATCTACCCTGCCAATAACAATCCAGATCTAACATTAATTAAAAAAATTCATATATATATATATATAGAGAGAGAGAGAGAGAGAAAGAGAGTAGAGAGAGAAACCATGGAGGAAGTAATGTCGAGATTCGCACTATCTTCCCTAGATTTGAGTGTTTTCTCTGATACTGCCCATTCCTTCTTAACCATCTCTTCATCATGATCAACATCACCTTCCAACTCTTGACGTTACTCAACTTCACTGACCTTCATCTCTCAAACCCAAAACACAGTTTGCTTTTTACTGTGTGTATACATGTGTGTGTGAGAGAGAATAGGATAGCCCAGACTCGGACGGACAGACAAAAATGGCCGTTTAAAAAAAATTAAAATTAAAAAAAAAAAAAGAAGAAGAGTCCTAAACCCTAAAGCCCTGATTTCACACTCACTTCTCCATTAGTACTATTTAGGTAAGATGCAAAATGGTTCGGGACTGATAGATTCGATGAATAGCAACCCTAATTTAATCGATCAATCTCAAATTTATTGTCAATAAGACCTCTATCCCATTTAAGATGGCGTCGGAGTAACGAGTCTGTGATTCCGGATTAGGATGCAGAACTATGGACATATTCTGTTTCTTTTGATCTCTTCCTTGACTCCCCATAATCACTTCATAATCTTTTTAAACCAAATCAAATCATATTATGAAAGGGATAGATCATTACAGATCTGTATATATATATCATGTTGTTAGCAGAGATATATATATATATCAATTGGTAGGGACAAGGGTATTTTCGGCATTTCATGAAAAAAGTAGCTGATGTCATCATTTTCCGTCGTTGACTCTAACAAAAGGGAGGTCCGTGTAGGATATTTTCAAAAGTAGGGGAGGTCCATGTAATTTCCGAAATAGGAAAGGTGCTGTCTGTAATTATGACAAACCATATGGGAGGTCTGTGTAAATTACCCTTTTTTAAATGACCTCCAAATTTCAACCTTTATTATTATTATTATTATTATTATTATTTGTTGATAAAGTCCAACTTCCATTTGGAGATTATGATTTATTTACACAAATGAGAGAGTTGCTTGCTACCCATTTTCCTCATCCTTTTTTTTTAAAAAAAAAAAAAAAAAAAAAAAGCATTAATTATGTTTGTATTAACTATTAACAATATGCCAAGACCAATTTGCAAGAGTCTCTTGTTAGAGCATTTAGCGAGCATAACTGCGCAAGGTAAAAGAGTCAGCGTGGCTTTAAGTGAGTGTCACTCTTATTTCAACCTTTTTGTTTAAGGTTCGTTTAAATGGCGATTGCCGCCGCATCTTGTTATTCTTTCTCCTCCAAACGTCTCTTCGTAACGTTTTACTGACACAATCATCAAGTCGTTCACAATAAAGCAACCACGTAGAGGTAAACCCTAATCTCTTAGTCTTTTTCTCTTATATGCCAGACCCACTCTTATCTTTTCTTACTTTCTTGTTAAATATTTTCATCACATATATGCCTATTTGATTGATGATGATTTAGACCCGATTTGTTCAATCATTTTGGTCATTCCAAAAGAAAATAATTTTTCTCTGTTCTTGATTTTCATTTGGTCGTTCCTATATCACAATAAAGCAACCCAGGTAAATCCATCGCAAGTGTAAATTCTAATCTCTCTGTGTTTCTTTTTTGTACACTTGTGTGCGAGAGATAAATCTTAATATTTATTCATATAAATATTTGTTAATTTTATAATTCTCATTTACAAAAAATTTATTGCATTTATATACTTATGTTTTAGTTCAAATTTGTAGCTCTTAATAGAGAAGCCATTTCAAACTAGGATACACATTAGGATATGTATGGCAAATTCAATTTTGAAATGGCCGCCTCCTACCAATTATGAATGCATCTTTTTAATTAGGTCCTCTCAATAGGATTAGTATAGTCAAAATGTAATTTATATTGGTATCAACAATAAGCCAAGACCAATTGTAAGATGCTTCTCCGAATGAATGGAAAAACAAAATCCGACAAATAATGATAACTGACATTCACTGAGGATTCGTTTATTAACGCTTTTACTTTCTTATTTTTACTTTCTCTAAAAGTAAAATTATGTTTTTAATTTCTTAAACTGAAATTAAAAATAGAAACGTGTTCAATAACTTATTTTATTTTTAATATTTGGAAAGCAAAAAAAATAAAAAGTACGTTTAGTAATTATAATTATAATTTTACTTTCGTGGTCACTTTTCTCTCTCTCTCTGAACAACGCCATCTGTGGCTTACCTTCCATGGCGGCTTGATAAGTTGCCACAAAGAGACATTGGTGAAGTGGTTGAAGGAATTGAAGGTGGGCTTGTGACAAAAGGTGAGATGGATTTGGGTAGGAAAGAAGTTGACATTTTTCAAGTATATGGTGTATGTATATATCTATATCTGGTCCATTTTTGTTGGTGTTACTACTGGTCAAAGGATTGATGACTGGCTGCTGCAGAGGCAATGGATGGACGGGACTGAACCAGAATTGAAGAAAGGTATCAGGGCTTATAAATCAAGCTTTCACAATGAGAACTGGGCTCTGACAAGGGTAGCGTGTTCGAAGCCATGCGGCTTAAATCAGAATCTTGATCCATAGAATAGGCTGACCAATCCCCGATTTCTACTGTAAATATAGATCTCTGCATCGCGCTACGCACCACTTTGCTTTTTGAGCATGACTGCAAGCAAGAATTCGAACAAGAATTAGAAAGGGTTATTTGGGGCCAACTGTTATAGTAGCAGAGCGGTTAGATTTGGTGCCACGCCCCTACTACTGTCCCGGTTCATTACCAAATGTCGACTAAAGGGACAGTGGTGGTGGTGGTGGCGGCGACGGCGGCGACTGTATGACAGGGATGGTGGTCGCCGGATCTGCAGACGAATGCGGCAACAAGGGTTTGCTAATTTTTATTTTTTTGTGATTCGGATAAACAGTGCTACAGTAAGGAAAGTAATTCCTATGCACGGTGGAGAAATACATAAAACATTATTTTCTTACTTTCTTTTTCATTAGTTAAATTTGAAAGTACATTCTAAGAGGTACAAAGTAAAATTATATTAGTAAACATTATTTTTATTTTTAATTCACATTTTTAAGAATTGATAGTAAGAAACAAAAAGTAAAAGAGTTAGTAAATGGGACCTAATAGACTCCCACCTCTCTCGTCTTCTAATTGAGAGCTAGGCCAGCCAAGAAGGCTTGGTTCGCCGGCTTACTCTTATCATATCCGAATGGTAAGAGTAAAAAAAATTCAAAAAAGATATAAATAGGTCCCTTGATCACCTTTTTACAAAAAGTAAATATGAAAATCTTATTTTACCCCTTTGATTTCTATTTTGCCCATCACCGATATGTGCATATAAGCCCTCCCCTAAACCCATTTCGTTGCCCTCTCTCTCTCTCTCTCTCTCTCTATTTATTTCTCCATATCTGCTGCTTCTGTTTCTTTCCTCTCTTAATTTTTTAATTTCTCCATATCTGCACACTAATTATATTATTGTTTGTCTCAAAAATTTTATTCATTTACTTCAAAACATGACATCATCTTCAAGCTCAAGAAACCATTGTTATCCATATGGGAGGTTAGTGAAAGAATATTATTGTAAATGTGGAGTTGAAGGTCCTTTGAAGGTGTCATCCACCCAACGAAATCCTGGTAGAAGGTTTTACGGGTGCGCAAACTACAAGACTGGTTCATATGGCTTTTTAAGGTGGGAAGATGATGAACTATCTGATTATTACTGTAAATTAATTTGGGATCTTATGACTGAGATACGAGAGCTGCGGGACTTGCAAAGAGTTGATTCTCGGTTAGTTGCTCAAGCTCCAACCATGAATATGAATATGAATGATGACAAAACATGATAACAAAATTAAGAGAAATGAAGAACACTGGATTTGCCCAAACCTAAAAGAAGATGCTTACCTCAGTTTAATGGTTCCATTCTCAATTTTCTTTTGGGGTTCTTTCCTTGTGTTGTATTGATTCCATTCTCAATTTTCTTTTGCAGTTCTTTACTTGTGTGGTATTGTTCAAGCTACTAATGTGAAACGTTGTAATGTTATGATGTTTTCCATTAAGTATAATGTTTTTATATGCAAGTAGGGGACTGTTTTAATGGACGTACAACCTGTTTGAATGCAACTACATGTTTGAATGCAACTCAATCAGACGAATTAAGGGACTTTTCCCTCAGCAAAAGGACATCTAATCCGCAAGTGGGAGCTCCACTGACCCCAACCTATCCATACACAACCTGATTGAATGCAACCACAACAGGTTTAAATGCAAACATTGTACCCAACAATACATAGACCGCATAATCGATAACACTGATAACAAAAACTGATCAAAATTTCTACGCGGAACCCTTTTTCAATATGTTCCACGCCACCCCATCGTCTTTTCCCGCTTTGCTAATCTTCCGCTCTAGGCTATAACACATGCCAGGGGTCCAAATGGAGGAGTTTTATGGGACATCCCAAGTTTCTTCTAGGTAACAACGAAAGAAAAACCACCTCATCCTTTATAATTATAAAGTAGGCAAAACAAATTACAACAAAATGTAGTGAACTGAAGTGATACACCACAAACATGAATGCTACCAAGTTTATTATGGAAAGGATAAAGAAAGAAAGGGCTCACCCCTGTTTGGTACGCGGGAGAGGAAGAAGGAGAGGGATAGGGAAAGGAAGGAGCAAAGGAATGCTAACCACCGCACAAATACATTCAGATCAGACATGTAAGGAGAAGGGGAGGAAAGGCTCCTTCGTTCATTTCTATTCACCCAAACAACATGGATAATACTCTCTTCCATCCATCCTAAGTTTCCATTCAACAGCAATAGAACACATTAAAACACAACACCACAAAATCAACTGCAAACACAGAATTAAATCTCTAAAGTTGTTAGATATGGCAAACAATATAAATGGTAGTACTTCGAACTGAACAAAGTACAACAGTTACGTTTCAAACACATCACATCCACAAATGAACAACAAACTAGGTTCATTAAACCCTAAACAGTCTAGGAACTAAATCTGAAAATCGATAACTACTAAAAAGTGGCATCCAAACATCACATCACATCACATGCGCTCATTTGATTGCTAACTACCTCCTATTGAGCCAATCCAAGCTACATCGAAATGGCTCTGATCGTTTGACTCATTTGACACTTGACAGCCTTGAATTGTACATAGAAGAAGGTAGACATGTTCAAATCATGAAACTAATAAGAAATAACAGGACAGAATAATCTTCACATAGAAATGTTAGTGTAAGCAATAGGCCTAGGAAAACAAAACTTGGAGGTAAATTGTAGAACGCTGTCTCCATATTCTTAATGATTTATGACCCTGTAGTAATGGGCAGACACACCAAACCCTATCAATCAGAGATAATGAGAACCAATCTCAGAATTACAATTCATTCCAAAACAGTCATCAAAAATCATTCCCAAGCGCGCACACACATTTATAACATTTAAATGGAGCCACAGCACCACTCTACATTTCTCAAATTTTCAAATTCAAAACTTTCATTTATCAGCAATGCACAACCAATGAAATGAATACATCCTCAAATTTTAAAATGACGACTGCAATTCATATCATTGTGATTAAATCAATAACCTTGACCCAATTTTAAACCGAAAATGAAATCAACCAAACACATAATCCATCTCACAAGTCACAATTACCACCCAAACAGAAGATGAAAAGCTCCATCATCCTGAATCAATGGGACTTCAAAAACAAGAAAGTTTTATTGCAATGATCAACTAAAGCATGTAGCAAAGTAAGCTCGAGATACATTGACACTTCACAAGCCCTTTTTTTTTCTTTGTAGCGAAAGGCAACTTCCCAAACTTAAACAGTTGTGCAAGAAAAGGGTTAAAATTTCAAATCACGAAATTAGTGAAAATAAAAGGACAAAAAAGAATCTCCCACAGAAATGTCAGTGCAAGCACACGCGCTAGGTAGACAATAATTTGGAGGTAAATGATAGAACAGTATCCCCATATTCTAAAGAATCAAAGCTCAAAACAAACCTAATCATCAAATAAGTCACTTTAAGCACATAAAGAAAAAATCACAACATGACCATCCTAAAACATTAACAGTCATTTCTTCAATTTTTTTTTTTTAATTCTCGCGCTTACATCCAAACACTCTTTGAAGTGTTACATAATCTAAAAAACAAATACATACATTTATATATTCATAGATAACCTGCATTTTTCTCAAATCAAAGCTCTGTATTTATTACGACATGCACACGGACAGATAAAAGAATTCTTCAAAATTTAAATATATATATATATATACACATATGATAGTAAATCATGCAAACCATAGAAGTTCCAATCATCCTGACTAAACCAATAACGTCAATAAAAATTATATATTCAAAATGACCATGACACACATAGATGCAACCATCATATGACACACATAGATGCAACCATCATATGACACACATAGATAAATAACAGAAGATTCAAATTCAGAATAGAAATTTGTTCCAAATGCGTAACTTTATGTAATCCCAAATAAGTTCATACCTCAAAATGGAATTGACAACTTAAAATAATGATCAAAAGTCGATCATAACCATATAAGATCCATCTCAAAAACTAAAATAAACGAAGATGACAACAAACTCAAAACTAGTGAAATCAATCACGATACTGTTACCGCCTTTCAGTCACCACCGGCCTTCTGGTAAACGTAGGTGAGCCCACACTTGCCACAGTAGTGACGGTCAAAGTGATTGGCCATGAACGTCCCAGCACCACACTCAGCGTTTGGGCACTCCTTCCTCAACCTCTGGACCTTACCGGAGTCATCCACCTTGTAGAACTGCAACACCGCGAGCTTCACCTTCTTCTTCTTGTGCTTGATCTTCTTGGGCTTGGTGTAAGTCTTCTTCTTACGCTTCTTTGCGCCGCCGCGGAGGCGGAGCACCAGGTGGAGGGTCGACTCCTTCTGGATGTTGTAGTCAGCTAGGGTTCGGCCGTCTTCGAGCTGTTTTCCGGCGAAAATCAGGCGTTGCTGGTCCGGTGGTATGCCTTCCTTGTCCTGAATCTTCGCCTTCACATTGTCGATCGTGTCAGAGGATTCGACCTCAAGGGTTATGGTCTTCCCGGTTAGGGTTTTCACGAAGATCTGCATCTTCGCTGAAAATGGAGGCGCAACTAGGGTTAAGGTTTCGCAAATCCAACTTTATACTCTTCTGGCACCACACATTTATATATCTACTGTATATATTCAATTTCCTCGTTTTGTCCTCTAGAAATAAGGTAATTTACAATTCTACCCAAGTATGTGTGTTCAAAAGCCCACTGTTGAGACTTTGACTAGCCCATTGGACCGACTTATGAAAATATACGTCATTTTCAAATCAACAATATTTGCAATTTGTCATTTTTTATGGTGGAAATTTTAATTTTATGTGATAGCATGAAATTTATGCTCTGTAATTGGAATTAGTTTTGAAAAACGGAAATTTCATGGTACTGAACACCACATAAATGATTGTCTTTTTTCAAGTACGTCGTACTTTTGAACCCCTTTTATATTGAATATAATTTTTTTTTTTTTTTTTTTTTTTTTTGGTTAGATATCATTTTAATGTGTGCTTATTTTTTCTTGTTTTACGTTGATGGGTGCAAACATGTTTTACTTGCCACTATTTATGTTTTATATTCAGTGTTTTATTACTTTCAATTTTAGTTGAAATTAAAAGCCAATGCAAATATGTGTTTTAGTGATTATTTCCTATTCCACAATTGCACAAATTAAGAGGTCATTATTTAGCTTAATAACTAATTTTTTCTCTTTGATAAAATAAAAAAAAAATAAGGGCCTTCTTAGTTTATATAACCCTGGAAACAATTCTCAATAACTCTAAAAATTGTTTTCAATTCTCTGAATTCTTAATAACTGTTTTCAAAGTTACAAACCAAACATGCCCTATCTGAAACACGTCTTTTTATAACTGAATTCTCAGAAAACTAAACTAAGTAGAGTTTTTATACAGTTTTCTATTTTCGAAAAACTGAACTAAGAAAAGTTTTTATAAAAACAGAAAATTGTTTTTAAAGTTACAAATCAAGCCGATCATAAATTTATTCTATCTATTTATCTCTAAATTAAAATTGGTGATGATAACAAGGTGGATTTGGGATAGGACACGACACTCTTATCTCAAATTCGTCTAAACTAATATCTAAGGCCATCCATATTGGCCTTGCTAGAGGCCTAATCTAGCATGGAAGTGGGCATTGCCCACTGCAATGGGCTAGCTATAAGCAAGCAGGCCCATAAGCGCTCGTGGGACTACTGGCTGGCGAGCCAGGGCACGATCGCTTAATTTAAAATAATAAAAAAAACTTTCTTGCTCAAAACGACGTCATTTTGAGGTTGAAATAATATATGTATATATATATATATATTTATTTATTTATTTATTTAAAAATACAAAACGACTAGTTTTGCAACGGCTGTTGCCCTGTTTGGCTGACCAATTGTCTCATGTCCCGAATTTTTTCAAATTTTTATTTATTTATTTATTTATTTTATTTTCTATGCATCATTTTACTTGTCATGTGGTACCCGATTATTTTATTTCATGTGTTCATTTATTTGATTATTGGGACATTAGTGTTATATATATATATATATATATATATATATATATATATATATATATATATAGGTGCGTGTGTGTATATATATGTGTGTGTGTGGGTTAATGAGGAGAGATATTTATGTGGCATATGTGGGATTGATTAAAGAAGGAAGGTTAGTTTGGTAATTTGGGCAAGTCAAGTGGACGACTTAACCTTGAGCCACATCTTTTGAAAGGCTAAAGTCAAGCCTTAGGATTCATTTATCATCTCATCACTCTCTCTCTCTCGGCATACTTTCCCTGTCTCCATTTTCCTTTTCTCTTTCTTTTTCTCACGTTCTCTCTAGGTCTTGCCTCTATTAATGAGAATTGTGAGAAGCCATAGTTAGAGAAGTGGTAGATCTTGGCAAGGGTTACGTTTTGGCACCAGTCTTGCATGCATTTGGTGGATTTCGGGTTTGGATCCTGAGCTTAGGTTACTTGATTTAAGGTAGGGAAGTCTAAATTATAAGGTCTTTAATCTTTATAAGTAATCTACTATGTGTATTTGTTGGAAGGCATGATTATGTGGAAGGTGTTGTTCTTTACTTGATGTTATTGAGATGGTATTTGTTTCACATGATTCATGTTATATGTATATGTGATGATATGTTTTATTCGGGTAAAAGCATGCTATGATGATGATAATGATGATGATGTATAGATTTCTTGAGAAATGTTGATGATTGATGTATAGCATGCATTTCATGGACATTGGTTGGATCATTACAGATTTAGTATCAGAACGATGGTTCGAAAACATTTAAGACGACGGGAAAAGCCTACATAGTTGAGGTAAAGGATTGGTTTTCATTGTTTATGTGATACATACAAAGGTGTTTAAAGTTTTGCAAGCATATTTGCTTGCTATATGTGCTTACGTGTTTAAATATTGAAGTATATGTTATGTGGCTATGTGTATAAAATGTTTATGTGATCTAAGCATGTGCTTGTGAGGTTTTATATTGTTATGAATGTCAAGTGATTTGCATGAGGACTTCATTTTCGGGCGGATTATTTAGTGTTGCTTTTATTGACTCGTTCACTCGTTTCATAGCGTTATGTCTGATGAGCGCTGAAAAGTGCGCATTTAAACCCCTTAAGCTTAGGTATTCCAAGACCTTTATCTATCTTACTTTCCCGTTTTAGACTAATTTCCTGTTATTGCCCTTTTTAGGTGCTTATCCCCAAAATAAGCTAATTCAGCCAAATAAGAGCTTATCAAGCTGGATGGAAGAAATGAGCAAAGTGGAAGCAGATTGAAACAAAGTATGGAATTCAGCAGGTTCGATCGATCACAAGTATATTTCGATCGATCGAAAATTCATCGATCTAGACATTTCAAGATGGATCTAAGCTCTTTTATCTTTATCCAAAGATCCCACTAAGTTCGATCGATCCAACAATTCTCAGATCGATCGAAAAGATTCCATCTTATCCTGTTGTACCACCCTACCTACCACTTTTGTCTCGTTCCCCAAAATATCTCAGATCTTTCCTTATCCAAAAAGGTGTGGCCATGAGAGGATCGATCCAGCCAAAGTTTGATAGATCTCAGCCATGTTCGATCGATCACAACACAAGTTCGATCGATCGAACCCTCTCAAATCCGAAAAAAAATATATTTTCAGCTCATTAAAAGTTGTCTCATTGTGCAATCATTGGAGGAGCCCTTGTGTACGAGCCTAGACCATTGGGTGTGACATTTGAGCTACCTATATAAGAAATATGAGCCACTTTTACACACATGCTTAGATATATGCTTTTAGGTATAAAGTTTTTAGAGACAATTCTTAGAGAGGAAGAAAATAAAAGAGGAGGCTAGAGACATTCTTGAGAGGTTTTTCATCTACTTCAAGAAGAGGAGCATTTCTACTATGGAGATAGCCCTTAAGGGTTAGAGAATACCATTCATGAGTGGCTAGACATTCTTTTGGGGCTAAAGTTAGCCCTAAGCATGCTTTCTTTATCTTGATTCATGTATTTTTTAAGGGATTTGTGTTGTAATACATGTTTTGACATCTTTATATACATAGATCTTTTTTATTCAATGATTTGTGTAGTTTAATTCTTCCAAGTGACCATTTCATTCTATCCATATGTCTATGTATGCTAGAATAGATTTTCATGTATTTATCTCTATTTCTTGTGTTGTTGATGCATGTTTATGTGTATTAATGCTATAGATCTAGAGATTATCAAGACATAGTGCTTAACAGAATGCTCTTGTGGTTTATTTGATGGTTTATACTCATTACTTGATGGATTGTGCCTTTCTCTTAGTTTAATTAGTTTAATTTTCATGTCATTAGCTTAGATGTAGTGTAGTTACCTTAGTTGTTAAATGGAAGGACAATCCATGCTTGTTGTTTGATGTTCCATACTTATGAATGTAAGTAGTATATTTCTCTAATTTTGTGATGTGTTTGGATTGTGAGCTTAAAGAAGGATTAATGGCTTACTTTGATATATTGTGTTATTCATTGTGTTATCTAGACAATATATACTTAATTGGTCATCCATGCTTGTTGAAACAACCACACACACTCACTATTGTTGCAACATATGCCTTCCCCTCATTAATTGTGAATTAAGTATAGAGAAAAGTGATGCTTAGTGGTGATCTCTAAGTTCCAAGATCTCTCTCTCTTATTTTCTCTATCCTTTACTTACTTGCTTGATATTGATCTTGTTTAGTTTTAATTGTAGTTTAATCAACCAAACAACCTACCTTTGATCACTCGACCTACTAACCCTAAGCCTTGTTTCCACTACTAGTGCACTCTAAATCCCTTGGAATAATCCCTACTCACCCTTACTATATATTTAGTTAGTGGTAATAGTGACATTTACAAATGTAAAACTTGGCCACACTATTTTGCACAAATTTGGTTGCACATCGCGACGGTCACACCAATGCTACTATGTGTCTTAGACTAAGGGGCGAGGTTGGGAAAAGTTCTAGCTCCAATCCCGTGGAGCAGGCTGATAAGGAGATACTTCTTAAAGATTTAAGGCCTGTTTGGTATCTGTTTTGGTCTTAGTGTTTTTGGTTCAGGCCCGCTACAGAACCATTATTGGGGCCCAAAACATGTTTGGGGAGGCCTGTGTTACTTTCAACAGTGTTAGAACAACTTTCAAAATTTGGGCTAAAACTTGAAACGAGAAAATGGTGTTTTACGATGTTTCAGGTACTGTTTAGGCTATAACATAATTGTAGCGGAGGAAACAAAAATCCATTTATTGCAACTTTTCATTCCATGTATAAAAGGAAAACTTGCAACATTTTAGGGTTGAAGGCAGCAGCTCCTCGTCTGGCAATTTCAGGGTGATTCGATTTCAAAGTGCAATACAATGCGATACAGTCCTTCTACGACCATAAACGACATCAATCTAAGCTGATTTCCTCTTCTCTTCAAAGAACAACCGAGGTTTGAGCCATTTATTTTTCATTTCTGCGACCTTATCTCTGTTTTTGACTGATTACTTTCAGTTTTGTGGTTCGAAATCCACACAAGGCTTCTTTTGTTCGATTTAATAGTACTTTTAAACTTAAACGACTTTTTCCTC